TTTCAAAGGCAAATTCATCAATTTGATAAAATATAAATTAGTTTGACAAAAATAAATGTCAAAAAAATATTTTTAAATTTTAAAAAATTATTTCTACTCAACAAAGATAAAATCATGTAAAAATGGTAAATCTTTTACATTTTTAGTTTTTTTATTTTTTTATCAAATTAATTTTTAGTATGTATTTGGATGATGATCATGTATTTGTTGTTAACAGATATTTTTGGATGGTTATAATTTAATGGATGGTTATTAGGTTTTTAATGTATAATCGATATATTTAATATATTAAATGTTTTTAACTTTGAATTTTTTTGATTTAATGGATTGGTTTAATAATAATATCAAAGTTGTCGCCATGTTTAACTTTTGAAAAAATTAATATAAAAAAATTATTTCTACCCTCCCAAAAAATAGAATTATATAAAAATGATGTGTTTTTAATTTTTTGTTCGCCAATTTAATTTTTAGTTTCTTAGAAAAAAAAAATTGAAAATAAATCCTAAAAACCAAATCAAATATAACTAAAAAAATTCCAACATTATTCATTGGGAAAAAGACCATTATATTTTAAACAACATATAAGTTAATCAACACAAAATAAGTTATATGATGACTTTGCCCTTTAAATGAAGCAACAATATCTTCAATTGTCTTTATTTGGAACAAGATTCAAAATTTAAGGTCAAATGTATCACAATTGAAAGATCATAGATCAAAGTGACACAAATCTCAAACTATAAGGACTGTTATTATATTCGGCCTTGATTATGAAATTGTCTTAATCCAAGTGGGTCAATTACTGACATGAACTATATTTCTATCAAATATTATATTTTAAAGGTCACACAACTTATATGTTATGAAATTTTGCACTCCATTTCAATTTACATAATATGATAGGTATAACATGTGTATAAACTTATACAAAAGTGAATACAAAAAGATTAAATACATGCAGTGACAATTAATGTCATTTTTCTTCTTTCTTCCATCTAAAATGTGTGCTTCATTTGGTATATAATGAAATAATTTTTTTTTTTTTTATAATTCTTGTGAAATAAATTAGAAATCAACACTTCTACGAAAATATCAACCAAATAAAAAAAGGCTACGGAAAGGTCCAAATAAAAAAATGAGCCAATCAAATAATAAAGGTTAAAAGTTAGGTTCAATAACCTACCAACTTGATGCAAGTGTAACCCAATAATATATAAATTAATGGCTCAACTATAGTGTGAACAAATCCATGACATTTTTTAAACTTAAATGTTCAAATTTCAAACAAATAAGTTGAATAAATTTATATTCTTTAATTTTTTCCCTCTCAATAGGTATACATTTATAGGTTGCAAAACCCCAACATAAACAATCACAAAATTAAAAAAAATAAACTTGAATACTACTACAAATAATTTTAAAATGTTAAGAGGCTCCTTTAAAAACAACAATAAAAATGCCCCCATTATATATATACATATGCACACAGCAAGAAAATAAAATTCATAAAACTCTAAAATTTTATAACAGTCTAATCAAAAAAATATAAATAACATAAAAATAAAGTAGAATATTACTACAAATAATGTAAAAATGTTCAAAAGGTCCTTTAAAGACAACAATAAAAAATCCCTCCACCACCTATATACATAGGCACACACAATGAAAATAAATTCATCAAACTCTAATCCTACAATTGCCTGATCGATTATGGTGTTATTGATGCTCGAATGTAACTTGCACTTGAAATGCAAAGTTTGAATGAAACTTTACACCCAGTATGAGAACACTAAAAAAATCGATGGTATATTAGAATATATTGTTAAAATACGAAATATTTGAAAAATAAGATATAAATGAAATTGGAGATAATGAAGTTGAAGATAATTATCATATAAAAGGTAAAATAAAATAAAAAAAGAAAAGAAAGATCATTTGAAAAATATGATATAAGCCCCGTTTGGTAGAGCTGTGGGAAAGTGCTTATAGCTTATGCCTAAACAGCTTATAGCTTATAACTTTCAGCTTAAGCTGATTTCCAGCTTATTCTTAAAGCATATCCTGCCCTTAAAATACGAAATATTTGAAAAATAAGATATAAATGAAATTGGAGATAATGAAGTTGAAGATAATTATCATATAAAAGGTAAAATAAAAAAAAAAGAAAGATCATTTGAAAAATATGATATAGATGAAGTTGGAGATAATGATAAGATTGGAGATAAAATTAAAAAAGAAAAAGAAAATACAAAAAAAAAAAAAAAGATATTGGAGATAAATGAAAATATTGGAGAAGATTAAGCAAAATGAAAAATGAAAAGAAAAGGCGATGAAGAACATTTTAAAGGTTAAAAAAAAAATTAAAAAAAAAGGAAAAAACTGAAATATTCTATGGAAAAAAAATATGTTATATAAGAAAAATAGACTTTTTAGTGAGACGCCTTCTAGGAGTTTCAAATCCTCATTCTAATTTTCTTGATTTTCTTAATTTTAAATAGTTACTTTTATTTGATAATCCCACTTCGAGAAAAACAGGAAAAAATTGAGTTGTTTTACTCATAAAGAGAATCTTATACTCTCATCCCATTTAGTGAGAAACTTTGTGAGAGTTTCAATATTTCATACTAATTTTCTTGATTTTCTTAATTTTAAACAATTAAAAAAATCTACATTAACTAACTTTTATTTGATAATCCCACATCGGGAAAAGAAAGAAAAAGTAAATTGTTTAGGTTGATTGTTTACCAAACTATACGGTGAAAAGATGCCTCTCTAATAGGATGCCAACTTATATAATTTAAAGGCTTTTTTTAATAATTAATGTTATTATTATTATAATAAAAAGGTTTCGAAATTTGGAGGTCATCACCCATCTCCCCCAATTGGGTCCATCTTACTTGCATGGTTACAATTAATTATATTTTTAAAACAATATTCTGCTCCAAATGCAATGATGCAAGTTAATTCCATGATTATGACCACATGGATGACAATATAACAAGGCACATGTCGGAGAGGAGAAGAGGTCAATTGATTAACTTTGATTTATTTTCAATTTTTTTTAGCAACATTTTGAACAAATTAAAGTTCAATTTACTTTGAGTGAGACTATCATTTATAATCACGTAATTTTATTATATTTAATTTTTATAAATAAATAATATATACAATTTTATAAGTAGATCATATATTTTTATTAAAGATAAATATATTAAAATCGCATGAACATGACTTCAGAATGAATCTGATTTTTTTTTTTTAATATGCATATGAGTTTACAAAATGATCGAATACAATAAATTCACCAACCTAAACTATGCCTCTCTAATTCCCATTGGCTAGCTTTCATTTACCTTTTATTTTACAATCTCACATCGAAAAATGGAAAGAAAAAAAAAAGTGAACTGTTTCACTTACATAAAGGAAATCTTATGCTCCTATTTATATAAGCAAAAGGAGATTTTTAGTGACAAACCTATGGTCAATATTTCATACTCATTTTTTGATTTTCTTAATTTTAAACAATTAAGAAAATTCTCATTGGTTAGCTTTCATTTAATTTTTATTTTACAATCCCTCATAGTTTTGATTTTAAAAATAATTTTGTATGAGATTTTGAAATTCTCATAATATTTAACTTTAAAATAATTATAATCTCACATCGAGAAGAAAAAAAAAAAAACTAAATTGTTTTACTTATATAAAGTGTTACAATCCCACAATGGGAAACGAAAGAAAAAAAGAATTGTTTCACTTATATAAAATAAATCTCATGAAGGGAGTTTTAAGGAAAAAAAACCTTCTAGAAGGTCCAAACCCTAATTCTAAAATAATTAAATTTTCTTAATTTTAAACAATTAAGAAAATTCTCATTAGCTAACTTCCATTTACCTTTTATTTTATAATCCCAAATAGAAAAAAGTGAATTCTTTTTACATAAAGTGAATCTTATGCTCTAATTTATATAAATTATTGAAATTTATTAATTTTAAACAATTAAGAAAATCTCCATTGGTTAGCTTCCATGTAACTTTTATTTTACAATCTCACATCGAAAAAGAAGGATAAAGTGAATTGTTTCACTTATATGAAGTAAATCTTAAACTCCTATTTATATAAGCAAAATAAGATTTTTAGTGAGAAGCCCTATAATCAATACTAATTTTTTTGTTTTGTTTATGTGTTTAAGAACACATATACAATACTCCTAGCATATTACCCGTGCTATGTGAAGGTGCTTTTGTAAATACAGTTTCAATCTGCAATCCAATGTGTTTATTCATTTAACTTTTATTTTACAGTCCCACATTGGGAAAAGAAAGAAAAAGTGAATTGTTTCAATTATATAAAATGAATCTTATATTCTCATTTACATGAGTAAAAGAAGATTTTTGGGTTATATATACATTTTTAAATTTATTTAAATTATAAAGATGGTTGTGGGTTTATATAAATTTTTAATTTGTGTATATATTTAATTTATTTAAGTTATAGAGTTGTGAGTTTTTATTTTTTTATTAAGTTATTGTGACTTAAAAAAAAAATCTAATTAGAAACCCTCAATGGGAAAATTAGTAATACCTCCTCCAATATAAATACATATGAGATGTAGTCCATACAAAAAGATCATATGTCCTTCCCTTTATAAATTTTAAAAGGTGAAGGCCATATTCTATAGTTTTATATTTTTGTATGACTAATTTACCCCTATATAGTTAGAGAAATTTCAATCAAATAAAAGTCAAAGAAATTTTAATCAAAAAAATTTTTAGTCAGAGAAAATTTTATTTTTATTTTTTTTAAAATTTCATATGCATCATGGATATTATTTGATAGATTTTGATGAGATGATTCTAAAAATATAAATTTTATAAAAAATGGATATGTAAATCAAAAGTAGTTGAATTTTAAAATTTTTAAATCATTCCACAACAAAACAATGTTTCCGAAGAAAATTCTATTTCCACACACCAAGTTTACTTATTCCACATATTTAATGAATTTTTTCAAAATTATAATTTTATCCTTTAACAAAATTACCATCTCACCCACATTCACTCCTCAAATCTCTTGAATACCCATTCTAGCCCTAGATTTCTCTTATCTCTTCCTCCGAGTTCTGATTGACTTAGCCATGAGAACATCCTTCCCTTTCCTCACTTTCTCAATCTTCTTCTTCTTCACCTTTGTTCTCCATTTCCAAGCTCATGCTGTTCCTTCAGGTTACAATCTCTCTCTCTCTCTCTCTCCCTCCATGTACTATACATTCTGTGATTTATTTGATTGGTGTAGATTTGTTTATTCAAGTACATTGATAGTGATTAATCAGGACCTTTGATAAAACACTTGTCTTCTCTTCTCAAATGGACAAGGTCTTCCTCCAAAATCCCCCAGTCAGGCAAGTCCAAAATCATAATTTATGATTTCTATTATGTTTATACACAAATCTATGCATTGGTTTTATGTGTTTTTGTTTTTAACCCAGATGGAAATGTTCTTCAATTTGAGAATGGGTACCTTGTTGAAACTGTTGTGAAGGGAAATGAACTTGGAGTTGTGAATGGGTACCTTTTTGCTATCGAATCGGTTAATAGCAATATTGTCCGGATTACTCTGCCATTATCCCAATGTAAGCTTGTTCTTCCTCTGTTTTCTCTTGCTATATGCGCGAATTGATTAACAAAATGGGTTTGACAATTTCACCAAAAGTACAACTCCGCATGTGAGGGTTCCGAAAGGTAATACAACTAAGGCGTCTCATGGTCCTCCTCCATCTCATAAGCAGAAACACCGAACCTTCTGGACAGTGTGCCATAGATGTAAAATGCAGTATGAGTATCTCAGAATGTATCTCAATCATAATCTTCTCTATCCCAATTGTCATGAACCATTTTTCGCAATAGAAACTGCTCCACCGTCCTCAATAGGTTATAAAGCATCCACCCAATCAAACCATTCCCAACAGCAACAGAACTCGAATCATCAGGGTGCAAGCAAAAATGTACATACTGCAGGAAGAAACAACTAAAGGAGAGGGCAAGCAAAAATGTACATACTGCAGGAAGAAACAACTAAAGGAGAGGATGTGTACAGAGAAGGTGAGGATATATTTGGAATGTGAAGTCTGTGGGCTGAGATAAAAAAGTAAAAATTAAATTACTAAATGTGTGGATTGAAAAAAGATATACATAGAGATAATTTGGTGTATGAAAATAGAATTTCCCCGTTTCCTAGCTTTAGTGTGGGAGTTTTTTTGTCCAAGAATAACCTCCACAAATTTAGAGAACTTGAACTACGAAATATTTTTCCTTTGTCCTTTTTAACAAGGGAGCTCTAACTAAAAATCCTGGTATTTTAAAAAATTAGAAACTTTATGAAAAATAGTTTGAAACTTTCAAAGACAAAGACCTTTTAACTTTTCCAATTATATATAGTAAGTATAGAATACAGATATATAGATAACAAAATTTTTTTAAAAAAAAAATCAAAAAATACATATTGTATTCAAATTTAATGAGATAACAAATAACAAAGATTAAAAAAAAAATGAGGACTAATTAGATTACAACGGTAGCGTTTGGTAACGTTTACGTTTTTTGTTTATGTTTACAAAAATTTTATAAACTAGTTTGTTTATTTTTAGAAAAAATTATAAACGCGTTTGGTTTGAACAAAATGTTTAAAAAATTTAAAAACATAAACTAAAAAATATGTTTGTTCAGGCCTAAAATATTTATATTTATATTTATTATTTCTGACAATGGGATCACACACATTATAATTGGAAAAAAAATTAATTAAAAAAATTTAATTGGAAAAAAAATTAATTCAAAAAAATGAAAAAAAAATTAATTCAAAAAAAAATTGAAAACTGAAAACTTAAACTCATTTTTTGAGTTTACGTTTTTTCCTCAAATTTATAAACTGAGACAACTATTTATAAACCAAAAAAATTATCAAACAAGTTTTTATGATAGTTTTTAAAAATTTTGTAAATATAAAGTAAAAACTGAAAACGGAATGGTTACTACTAACAAAAATTTCAAAACATCTAAATTGTGAGGAAAAACGATTGAAACTTTCGGCCTCAATAATAACAAAAATTTTAAAAAATACTATATTTGAGATTACAACGAGATAACAAATAACAAATTTTTTTTAAAAAATACTATATTCAAATTCAAATGAGATAACAATGTTATATTTAAAAAAAAAAAATCTATATTATATTCAAATTCTAATGAGATAACAATGGATAACAAATCTATACTATCAGATAAAAAACAAAAATTAAAAAAAAAAATGAGTACCAATTAGATTGCGACACATATTAACTGAAATTTTAAAAAATCAAAAAATTCAAAAAATTGAGGAAAAATGATTGGAACTTTCAACCTCAATGACTCCACAATGTTTTGCAATTATATATAATACAAATAGAAATTAAAAAAATTAATACCAAAAATCAATGTGTTCTCTATATTTTTGGCAAAGTCAAAAGATACTTAAAAAAAGTCAACTCCAACTCTAAGTATATATCTTGTTACTATTGGAATTTTTTTATAAAGATTATATAATTACTTAATTATTAGGGAGTACTATGCATACAAAAAAAATTAATGCAAATTTTTAAAAAAAATTCTAAAAAATGTGTCAATAGACTATATTGATTATGAGGCCTTTTTTTGGGAACACCCCAAATATTAGCTTATTTGTATCGCATCACATTTCTATTTTTCTATATATTTTTCGTAATAAATAAAAAAATCAAAAAATAAATTATACCCAAAACAACCTTGAGTGTGACTCATGTCACATTAAATTTAAATTAAAAACATGACATTTTTCTTTTACTCCCAAATAGATACTAGATCACTTCCCTATAATCATTTATACTCATAAAATTATGTTTAAGGGGTCTTTTGGGAAGTGGGTTATAATCCGCTTCCCAGATTATAACCCACTTCCATCTCTCACAAAAAATTGATAATAATTAGATTTTATGTGAAAATGGAATTTTCCCGTTTCCTAGCTTTAGTGTGGGAGTTTTTTTGTCCAAGAATAACCTCCACAAATTTAGAGAACTTGAACTACTTCGCCTGTGTTTGGCAAGTGGGTTTGCAGGCTATTTTGGCTATTTTAGCCACAAAAAACAAAATAGGCTATTTTAGCCATAACAAACAAAACATCACATCCAACCCATAATCATTACATTCTTCTCTCACAAAAAAATTCAAAAAAGTCAAAAAGCCAAAAAGTCCTTCCCAAACTAAGCTTTTAAGCCCAGACTAAAATAGTCAAAAAGTTAAAAAGTCAAAAAGTCAACCCACTTCCCAAACGGAGGCGAAATATTTTTCCTTTGTCCTTTTTAACAAGGGAGCTCTTGTATTTTAAAAATTAGAAACTTTGTGAAAAATAGTTTGAAACTTTCAAAGACAAAGACCTTTTAACTTTTCCAATTATATATAGTAAGTATAGAGTACAGATATATAGATAACAAATTTTTTTTTAAAAAAAAATCAAAAAATACATATTGTATTCAAATTTAATGAGATAACAAATAACAAAGATTTAAAAAAAAAAATGAGGACTAATTAGATTACAACGGTAGCGTTTGGTAACGTTTACGTTTACGTTTTTGGTTTATGTTTACAAAAAATTTATAAACTAGTTTGTTTATTTTTAGATAAACATAAATTATAAACGCGTTTGTTTGAATAAAATGTTTAAAAAATTTTAAAAACATAAACTAAAAAATATGTTTGTTCAGACCTAAAATATTTATATTTATATTTATTATTTCTGACAATGGGATCATACACATTATAATTGGAAAAAAATTAATTAAAAAAAATTTAATTGGAAAAAAAATTAATTGAAAAAAATGAAAAAAAAAATAATTAAAAAATTAATTGAAAAAAATAATTGAAAAAAAATTATTTGAAAAAAAAAATTGAAAACTGAAAACTTAAACTCATTTTTTGAGTTTACGTTTTTTCCTCAAATTTATAAACTGAGACAACTATTTATAAACCAAAAAAATTATCAAACAAATTTTTATGATAGTTTTTTAAATTTTTGTAAATATAAAGTAAAAACTGAAAATAGAATGGTTACTACTAACAAAAATTTCAAAACATCTTAAATTGTGAGGAAAAACGATTGAAACTTTCAGCCTCAATAATAACAAAATTTAAAAAAATACTATATTTGAGATTACAACGAGATAACAAATAACAAATTTTTTTAAAAAAATACTATATTCAAATTCAAATGAGATAACAATGTTATATTTAAAAAAAATATCTATATTATATTCAAATTCTAATGAGATAACAATGGATAACAAATCTATACTACCGGATAACAGTTATTTAGGTGGTGGTGGTGATATCTTTAGTTGTTAGTTTGTGAAGAAGAACAGAAACTTCAGGCATAGTGATTTATATATACAACAATGATTCATCTCCCTTTTTCTCCATCCCCTTTGACCCCCTCTCTCTCTCATTGGTTACATTTTCTTTTTCTTTTTTTTCCTGCTCCTCCAATCACCACCCGCCACGTGGCAAAGGGGGTGAGGGGGTGACCCCCAAAAGGGGGTCCCAAGCATTATTCTTTTAAAAAATCAAAAAATTCAAAAAATTGAGAAAAAATGATTGGAACTTTCAACCTCAATGACTCCCCAATGTTTTGCAATTATATATAATATAAATAGAAATTAAAAAAATTAATACCAAAAATCAATGTGTTCTCTATATTTTTGGCAAAGTCAAAAGATACTAAAAAAAGTCAACTCCAACTCTAAGTATATATCTTGTTACTATTGGAATTTTTTTATAAAGATTATATAATTACTTAATTATTAGGGAGTACTATGCATACAAAAAAATAAATTCAAATTTTTTAAAAAAATTCTAAATAATTGTGTCAATAGACTATATTGATTATGAGGCCTTTTTTGGGAACACCCCAAATATTAGCTTATTTGTATCGCATCACATTTCTATTTTTCTATATGCTTTCTCGTAATAAATAAAAAAATCAAAAAATAAATTATACCCAAAACAACCTTGAGTTTGACTCATGTCACATTAAATTTAAATTAAAAACATGACATTTTTCTTTTACTCCCAAATAGATACTAGATCACTTCCCTATAATCATTTATACTCATAAAATTATGTTTAAGGGGTCTTTTGGGAAGTGGGTTATAATCCGCTTCCCAGATTATAACCCACTTCCATCTCTCACAAAAAATTGATAATAATTAGATTTTAATCAAAAAGCTAATTATAACCATCTTCTCAAAATAAGGACATGAATTTTGAGAAGAATTAGAATCTCATAATATTAAGATTATTGGTAATAAAATTTCCAGATCATTGTTATTTATGCATTTAGCATTTGGTTTTGTTATGAATATTGACAAAATTTTAAGTCTTGTTAGTCCCATTTTATTTTTACTCTTAAATAATTAATATTTCTTGAGCAATTATGGGAAAGTAGGAGAATCAAATACTTTGTTGGGGAATAATTTTTTTTTTCCCCGGAAATAAATAGACAATAATCACTTTTTTATTCTAACTCATTTCAAAGGTTGAATTCGTGATGACTCAAAATCATATTTTCATTTCCCTCAATATTCATGTCACTCAAGCATACCAAATGACTCAAAAAAACAATAACACTACAAATTCAAAAAATTTATCAAAAAACATTAATATGTGATTGAGATTCATTTTACAAATTCCAACACTACATGCATTTAATCTCTACCAAAGACTTTAATTCTTATCACAAATCTATATTCGAGGTCTTGAACTTAACCCAAAAACAAATATTTTAAATATTGGTCCACTTTATTGGTACAAGAGTCCTAAAACGTAGAGGTAAGGTGACCTTGCATACACTCCCATTTACCACACATTACATATGCATCATACACATTACAAACTAAGATGGTCTATCTATGGTTGATCATAAAACTCACTTGGCAAGCGTGGGGTGACCAACACTTCCAATGGAGTTGCCTTAGGTAGTGTAAGCCCCAACCCCTCACTCATATCCACTTTTCCATTTCCCGGTAGTATCGTAAGGTTGAACCCTTGAAGCAATCGAGCGAGTATCAAATGCAACGTTTGATATGCTAAGGTGCTTCCAGGGCATGACCTTCTACCAGCACCAAAAGGAAGGAACTCAAATTGCTGCCCTCTTAAATTTGTTTTTGCTTGCCACGTAAGAAATCTCTCTGGCCTGAACTCATCAGGGTCAGTTGACAAGCAAGGGTCATGGTGGAGCTTCCAAATATTTACTATCAAGCGAGTGCCTTTGGGGACGTAGTAGCCAGAGACATGACAGTCTTGAATGGACTCACGTGGTAAGGATAAAGGTCCTGGAGGGTAGAGTCGTAATGTTTCCTTGACGATGGCTTGGAGGTAAACTAAGTTCTTGGTGTCTGATTCATCTACCCATCTTACTTTTCCATGTCCAACATACATATCTACTTCTTGTTGTGCTGTTTTGAGGACTGTTGGATGGTTTAGAAGTAGGGAAACTGTCCAAGTTAATGTGGCAGTTATGGTATCAGAGCCTCCTAGGATAAGTGACTGCAAAAAAATGAAAAAATAAATTTTTTTTAATGTTATGAAATTAAATTCTCAATTGAAAAGAATATACAACAATATTATGAGTACAACAAATAAAAAATAAATGCAAAGTAGCACTTACAATTTTTTGTTATACAGTCATATGATATGATAATTTTTTGTTATACAGTCATAAATAAAGAGTAGCACTTACAATATTACGTGTACCAAAAAAAAAAAAATACAGCCATATGATAATTTTTTGTTATTGAAAAAAAGAATGAATTTCACTCCAACCCATAGTCTTGATGGAAGGGTACTATCCCAACTCAAATAAAATTAGAAGAATATTGATGCTACTTATTCATGCATAGTTACTCCAAAGTCCTACTATTTGGTTTGGCTAGCTACAACGGTTAGGATCCAGAGACTTTTATTGGACTGAAAGGTTTAGTTGATTAATTAGATTAGAGGTCTAATTGAAGCCCCATTTGGTAGGGGTGAGGATGGTCCGGATTGGACCGGATTAAGGTAAAATTAGGATCAATTCGTTATTTACGGTTCCTAAAAAATTAGAACCAATCCAATCCGTTTAAATCATGGAATTAATCCGAACCAATCCATTTAAATACGGATTGGATCGGTTTAGGACTATGGATTCACATAATTAAATAACAAAAATATATATATATAACACTTGAATTTCATAAAAATATAAACATAGCGCTATATTAGTTCCATAATAGCAACATGTTTTTCTATAATAACGACATACTGTTCTAGAATTTAAACAACTATAAGAAAACTGATTTCACCATAAGTATTTAGACCATTGCAAATTAAAACTTAAAACTAACAAACAAAAGTAATAAAAGAAGATATTATACGGTTTTAGGTTTGAGTTTAAATTTTAGATAGAATAAGAGAAAATACTATGGGGATGATGTATAATAAAAATATAGACTATTTGTATACGGTCCGGATCGGTTCCAATCCGGAACCGTGGGATTCAATCCGGAACCAATCCGCAAACTACGGATTTTTAATTCTTCAATCCGGAACCGAACCGCGGATTCAAAAAACCAATCCAAACCTATCGGATTGGACCGGACTGGATCGGATTACGGATTTTACGGATTCCTTGCTCAGCCCTACCATTTGGGATAAAGGTTGAGGCTAAAATAGTTATAAATAATAAAATGTCATATTCAAATTTATAAATAATAAAATGTCACATTTAAATTATAATCATTTCATTTTTTTCTTATAAAAGTCAAAAAAAAAATTAAAAAACCTATCACAAACGAGACTTTTTAACTCCATACTAAAGTAGCCAAAAAAATTAACTCATATCCCAAACCAACCTGAGGCGATTGTGGGATTCTAGATGAGTTAAACAAACCCTGAGGCGATCGGAGAGAGAGAGGTAAAGGACGAGGAGAGCGAAAATGGAGAGGATGTATCAGAGGGTGTCGTTTCTGGAAAGGAAGAGGGAATTGAGAGGTCGGAACCAAAGACGAGATGAAGAGTGTTTACTCACCATGATTGTTGCCTTGATCTTAGTCTGTTTGGTTGAATGCTAAATTATTCAAGAATCTTTGCACTTTTTTTTTTTTCCCAATTTGATATATTCCATATTTAAAGAATGCACAATTAATAAAGTTCAGATCTGGAGTGCAATTTGTCTCTCTTTAGCTACACGTCCTCCATTAAAGATCTGGGAACAATTTCTTTGTATTTGTATACATGTAATGTGTTTTTGAGTTAAAAGAAGATAAACTGTGGTACTGTCTTTTTAGCAATTTATTGATTTTTTTTTTTTTTTTAATCACTTCACTTCCCTATTTTTTTTAAAATTTTTTCAAAAAACATTTTTTTTTAAAAAAACTTTTAACTTATTTCTCAAAATAAATTAAAGTTGACTTTTACTGTAGCCTTTATGTGGGTCAACTCTCCAAACTCGAGCATGTGATACAACCTCCGTCAGTTTGGATGAAAATTATGACAGTTGCACTTTGGTACAAAATTACAAGGTCATATTTGAATCATAAATGGACAAAATGCTCCTACCCTTAACCACAATGGGATAAATTAAATTTTATTCTAAAATAAATAATCTATTATCAAGATCATAATTACTATATATATATTTTTAGCAAATATACTCAAATTATATAAATATAAATATTTAATTAATTTATTTTTTCATATGAATTATTTAGATTTAAAAATAAGTGGGTTATCATATTTATTTAAAGCATGATAAAAAAAAATTTATTTATATGTAATGTTACTTGATGTATATGCAAATAATTTGGGTCAAGCCATTAATGCAGCTGAATAAGATTTAGGCCTAATTTGGGAAGATTGAAAAAAGATAAAAAATCAAGTTACTATCCTATTTAAGTCACATCATTTTATTTAAATCACATCACTTCTCTAATACATCACTTCAAACCCAATCCATATTTTATAAAAAATCAAAAAATACACTTATTTAATCTGCCTAAACTAGGCCTTAAGAAGTACATGGTAGCCATTAATGTAGCTGAATAAAATTAAGAAGTGATTTGACATACCACTGGACTTAAGAAGTCCAAGGTAGCCCAGTTCTATGATATACATTAGAAGTCAAATGGAACCCTTAGCTTTGCTAAGCTGGTTTACCGACAAGTACATGAGGTTTTTTTTTAATAGTAAAAGTGAAAGCCTTATTAAAAATATGAAATTAAAGGTATAGAAAGATACAACGTATTAAAAGAGGTTTAAACAGTATAAAATATTCTTACCATTGTTATTTACACTCATATAACCAATCCTTTGACCTCACAATTTTTTAAATAAAAAATAAACCAAAACAAAATCAAATCAAATTTTAACAGTTAAGAAGGACTTAACTACCAAAAAAAATAAAAAATTTGAAGCCCCAAAGTCAAACCACATATCCAAAAACACACTCCTTAACTCCCAAGCATAGCTACACTACACCCAAGGCACAACTCAATGTCTCCCACTCCTATTCCCTCCATCACACTTCACCCACTCCATGTAGAGATGGCAATTTGAACCCAGACCAATAGGGACCCGACCCCGAATTGAGCAGTTTTTTTTTTCGAATAATACCCCCAATGGGCCGGGAATAGTATTAAAAAATGAATTTCTGATAATATTTGGATCAGAGCCAATGATACATTTCCCAGCCCCAGACCCGGCCCCGGCCCCGTTTAGCCCCCAATATAAGATTACTATTATGCCCCTGTTTATATGTGTGTGTGTGTGTGTGTGTGTGTGTGTTTAGGATTTTGTTGACACACAAACATAACATATCGCCGATCCTTCCTCTCTCTCTCTCTCTCTCTCTCTCTCTTACACAGGAGTCTGTCGCTCTCTCCTCTCTCTCTCACACACACACACACAGGAGTCTGCCGCTCTCTCCGTTCCTTCACCGTCGATCCTCCTCACCGATCCTCTCTCATCGCTGCGATTCTCCCTCACTGCTACTATACTCCCTCACCGATCCTCCTTCATTGCTGTTGTGCTTCCTCACGGCAACAGCTCCTCCTCTCCCTCTCACGGTATCTCATCTCTCTCTCTCTCACGGTATCTCCTCTCTCCCTCTCTCTCTCTTTGTTTTTTGCTTTTGTTCTTCAAATCTGGAAAATGATGAAGATAAAGAGATGTTGATGAAGATTTGTTATTGATGAAAATGATGAAGATCTGTTGTTGATGAAGATCTGTTGTTGTTGTTAATGATTTGAGCTCAGATTTGTTGTTGTTGTTGATGATGTTGATATTGTTGTTGTTCTTGTATTTTTTGGAACTGATTTTTCATTTTTTTTGGTCGGGCAATTTTCAGGGTTGGGGAAACCCGACCCTTGTTAGAGGGCGGGGGCAGTGATAGGTGCCCCGTCAGGGATCGGGGTCGGGGACGGAGAAATTTTCACCAATGGAAATCGGGGGCGAGAAGTGTGATCCCCGGTCTTGCCCTGGCGCATTGCCATTCCTAACTCCATGGCTGAACACCATTGGCAGAAACACACCCATGGCCGAAGCTTACTTCCAAAATTGAAACACACATTGGCCCAAACACTCAAACTCCCATTGCCAAACACCCTTAGCCTAAGCACACAACTGAAGGTTCCATCGCCGAAACACCCATTGCGGAACACACCATTGGCAGAAACACACCAACTTCCATGGCCAAAACACTACCTCACATGCGGTCTAACAAACACTACACTACCTTCCACAGTGAAGTTTCCGAACCAATGTTTTAAAAATCGGACTAATAAGCGAAGTAGAAAAGCGATCGGATAGACGGGTCACTAGTTCAACTGTCAGGGTTGAACTGAAATCAAACCGTAATGTCATAATTATTTTATGAATATTTTTATAATTTAAAAATAAATAAAATACATTCCTTTAAAATATTTTTATAATTTAATATATATATTCATCAAACATATATGTTATATATATTTTTTATATTAATATTGTTTGTAAAAATATTAATTATACATGTGTTTGAGGGAAATTAATTTGCATACAATAAATATTATATATTTCCTATATATTAACAAGGAACCATGGTGGTAGAGTGGAAATTCATTCTTTTTGGAGCTTGAGGTGTTGGATTCAAGTCCTTTTAGTATCAACTTTTTCAATATTGGACCAAACATAGCAAACCGATTCGATTTGCTTCAACCTGGGCCAGTTCGTTCGGTTTAGTGGTTTAACCGCGGTTCGCACTGGTTTTACTTAAAATGACTGATTTTCAAGAGGGAACGGGTTAGAGGATATATCCGAACCAGACCATAGACCGGTTAACGGTTCAACCGATCGAACCGAACCGGCCTGTTCAGTTTTTAAAACATTGTTCCGAACAAACTCCTTTGGCCGAGAACCACCAACACCTCCCATGGCCAAAACAATCCATGGCCGAAAGACCCAAGAACCAACTCCTTTGCAAACACTTGAACATCAAAACTCACTCTAGAATGTAATCGCCAGACACCCCCATGAATAACAACTCGCTCTAGAATGAAATCGCTGAACACCAAAGCTACATCAGAGTACCATGAGCCAAAACAACCTCCTTTTAGTCGAATGAAACGCTGACCTTCATAGATTTGAATAGAGTTCACCCCTCAAACTCCCACTCTCTAAAGAGCGCCCAAATGAAGCTCTTTTACAAATTTGGAACATTTTTTTTATCAGTCCACCACCGACCTCCACAGATCTTAAAAGAATCCACCCTTCAAACTCCCACTGGCGTAGGAGCACCTAAATGAAGTTTCTAAACAAATCCAACATGCCCATGTTGAAGGCGCTGTCCATGAAGGAAACCGAAAAAACCATGGTCGAAACCCCCCAAGGCCAAAATCCATCCCTTTACCACCCTAAAGAACTGAAAAAGATTTGGAAAAACTATAGGGATTCAAGTTTAAATAAGTGAGACCAGCTGACCGCCATGGCCAAAGGCGACGGTTCACTGGCCAACAATGAGACCCGGGATGAAGGTTTTTAAAGAGAGAGAGAGAGAGAGAGAGAGAAAGTTTTAGAGAGTCAAATTTTTAAACATACGAGTACATGAGTTTGTAACTTATATATATAAAAGATTGAATTACACTGATAGTTCTTGTACTTTGGGGCTTATATCATTTTGGTGCTTGACTTTTTAATTGTATTACATTTGATCTTGATTTTTAAATCTCGTTCCAAATAAGAACAATCACAAATGTCATTTCTTTTGTATGTAAAATTCTTCATTTCAAGGGTAAAGTTATCATTTAATTTATTTTGTGGTGGTTAACCTGTATGTTGTTTAAACTTTAATAACTTTTTGTTTAGGACAAGGCTGGTCTCCAGTCCAGTTTTGGATTGGGCCGTACTATTGGGCCTCCGTGGGAGTATCACGGAGCTCATATCGATGATTCAAACCGTTCAATATGTAGAGCTCGTCGAGTACTTCATCCTTGCAAAAAATCACGTTAATCGGATATCGATATCCAACGTGATTGTTTACAGGGATGAAGTACTCGACGAACCCTACACATTGACTATTCAGATCATTGATACGAGGTTCATGGTGGACCCACAGAGGCCTAACATCACTGTCCAATCTGAAGCCACATCTTTTTTTAATGAATAATGCTAGCACTTTTTTTATTATAAAGTTCTATTTGGTTTGATTTTCAGAATCTATTTTCACAAAAAATAAAAAATAAAATAAAAAACTAAAAATCAAATTGGTGAAAAAATTAAGAACACTTATCATTATTATATAATTTTATCTTTTGGAAAGGTAGAAATAATTTTTTGAAATTAATTTTTTTTATATTTATTTTCGTTAAATCAATTTCTATTTTTTCAAAAATAATTCTAAAAATAGTCTAAAAAACTCAAGTAAAACATGGCAACAATTTGGATATCATTATTAAATAAAAAAATTGAAAACTAAAAATATTTCATTTATTAAACATATCATTTATGCATCAAAAGTCTAATAACCATCATTTGCATGATAACCATAAAAAAATATCTGTTAAAAACAAAAACAATCATCCAAAAACGTTAACAAAAACAACCACTCATTACATGATTATCATTCAAACACTTACTAAAAATTAATTCAGTAAAAAAATATTATTTTTATATAATTTTATTTTTGGTATATAGAAATAAATTTTAAAATTGTAAAAATATCTTTTTTATATTTTATCACATTAACGATTTTGTTCTTAAAATAAAAAATTATCCATTTGAAAAGAAAGCCACGTCTTCAATTATGTATATTTAGAATGATATTTAAAAATTAAAATTAAATATATTATAATTAAAAAATTACGAACTAAAATAAAATAAATCTTAAATTACAAAAACTGTTAATATAATTTGTCCTATATAAAATGAGAGGAACACGTGACATGCTTTAGAATAGTCATCTCCACTCATAACTGAATTAGTGACGAAACGGACGTGTTTTATGGCCCTACCCTCCTAACCTGATAACATCTCACGCGACAATGACTAAGAGAATTAGAGTAAGGATTCTTTAGAGTATTTTTTTTTTTAAAATTTTTTAGAGTGATACATTATGTGGTTGAGATTTAATGACAAGTCATATTAATTTTTTAACATTAAATCTCAACCACACAATATACCATTTTAAGAAATTTTTTAAAAAAAAACACTTTAGAATTATTATTCGCTAAGAACATGTGACATGCTTTGGAATAGTCATCTCCACTCATAACTGAATTTAGTCACGAAAAGGACGTATTTTATAGCCTACCCTCCTGACATGATAACATCTCACGCGACAATGACTAAATAGAATTATTACTTATATTGTGTTAGTTAGAAAATTTGATAAAAAATTAAATAAAATATATATATATATATATATATGTGTGTAAAATTAAATTAAATATAAATATATATATATTTTTTTAATTTTTATTTATAACATTAAAAACGTGTTTTATAACTCTACACTCCTAACCTGATAAGATCTCACCAAAAATTCACTTAATAGAAAAGGAAAATGTTTGAGGGTCACAATTTTTGTGACTACAATAATTCAAAATTGTCAAAACGATGTCGTTTTGGGTGCAAAATATGTCAAAACAACGTCGTTTTGACAGTTTTGAGCCATTATGGTCACAAAAATTGTGACTCTCTAACATTATTAAATAGAAAAATGACTAATAAAATTATTCTCCACATGAATTATTCATTCTTATTAAACCCTAAAAACTGTGCTACGAGTTCACCACTAGTTTGACTATTGGATGACTCTTAAGAAGTACCCATTTACTAACATTATTGAACTATGGACTTTCCATTTAATAACATTATTATTATTGCCTGAAACAACTTTTTAAGTTATATTGCCAATAATGAAATAATCTGACTCTTGTGTCCAAATTAATACGTATGAACTTTTTATTGAAGGTAAGGAATTTGAGTGTACCAGAGCAGTTCCCTTGATGATGTCCTGACTCTTGTGTCCAAACACCAGCCCATCACCATCCTCAGGGAAGCAAGACAACAACACATCCATGAAGTCTCTTTCATCTTTCTTCACATTCCCTTCTTTCCTGCTCTGCACATGTTCTTCAAGCCACATACTCAAGAAATAATCCATCTCTTTACCATTCCTCTTCATAGCCTTCACATTACCCTTCAAATCCAACCATTCAATCCCGGGAATCACATCCGAACACTCAGAAACATCAGCCAAATACATGAACTCGTCCATCGTTCTCGCGAACTGCCTTGCCTCCTTGTCTCCCTCATTGTCACCGAAGCTGTATCGCTTCCCCGCAATCACCCGTAGCATCAAGTTCATCGTCACTTGCCTAAACCATTCACTCACTTTCACCTTACACTCTGTTTTGGAAACATAGCAGAGACGGAAAAAAAAAATGATTACATAAAAAAAAATTAAAAAATAAAAAAAATAAAAAAAAAATTGAAGTTTGCCTTCTGTTTGGATAAATAAGGGAATCTCTCACATCTTGTTTGGGAGGTCAAGTATAGTCTGTGGGTTTGCTGCTGTCGGGTGGGATTTGAGTTGAAATCTGTCACCTTTATTGAGAACTTTGGAGATGCACATGATTAATCTAGTTTTAGGTGTCAATACAGTTGGGATACAACTTTTTTTCAAACTGTTTTGTATCTTTCTCGGAGCACCCAGAATCTTGTAGAGTATTTTTTTTTTAAAGTTTCTTAAAGTGATGTATTGTGTGGTTGAGATTTAATGCTAATTGATGTGACTTGTCATTAAGGGCTGGTTTGGCTTATCCTAAATAAGTCAAAAAGTCAAAAAGTTACTCCAAAATTCAAAAAGATATCACTATTCACCAAAAAAATTAAAAAATCAATTTTCTTCAACAAAAAAAAAAAAAAAGTACACACCGAATTGATGTGTGTGCAGCTGCTGTGTGCGGCAGTGGAGAAAAAAGAAATGATTGGGTGTGGTTTTTACACACACCGTTGTTCGTCCTATGGGGGTCATCACGGGTCCCGTTTTGATAATCTGAACCGTTCAATGTGTAAAAATCGTCGAGTATTATATGTCTGCAAAAAATCACATTGATCGGATATCGATAACTATATGATCAAATCAGTTAAGTACAACAAATGGATGGTGTTATAATTAATGATTGAAAAATAAATAGATCTGATCAGATAGCTATCGATATCCGATTAACGTGATTTTTTATAGGTACATAGTGTTCGACGAGTTACACACATGAACGGTTCAGATTATTAAAATGGGACCCGTGATGAACCCCACGGGCCAAACAAAACCGTCCAATGCTTTGTACAAAAATTAGCCAATAATTTCCAACTCCAATTGAGTCTGCCGGTTGTACAGCCGGTTGTATGGCTGGGGGCCCACTCCTCTCTTATCATCTCTTACACACTTTTTTTTATACAATTTTTTAATACACATTTTTTCATAAAAAGTAAAAAAGTTAACCTAAACCTCCATATTTTTTTTGTCTTTTTTAGTCTAAAAAGACAAAAAGTGCACTTTTTTAGGACACCCCAAACCAGCCCTAAATCTCAACCACACAATACACCACTCTAGAAAACTTTAGGAAAAAAAAACTCTAGAGGATCCTTGCTCTTCTCGGAGTTAATAAAACTAGCAGAGTGTCTGCCCTTGAACATGCCGATGTTCTTTTGGCCCTGGAAAAAGGAAAGTACAAAAAAAAAAAAATTGGTTTCATGTTATATTGTTAAAATAACTTTGTATAAGGGTCACTTTTTAAATTTCTTCAATATATGTAAACGGTAATTATGATATTATAAAAGGTACTAATTAGTTGATTTCTTTTCAATTTCATTACTGAGTACTCATTTAGTAACATCACTTTTTAGTTTAAAAGTTAAAGAATTATTAAAAAAATTAAAAAATTAATAATTTATACTAAAAAATCAAAGAATCCCTATTCTTTCTACTTTTTGTACATTTTTTAAAAAAAAATCAAAAAGTCATCACAAACATACTATTTTTTTTACATCATATTTTAATCAAAAAAATCAAAAAATTAATTAAAAAAATCTGTTCTCAAACAAGGTCTTAAATAAATAAAAAAAAGAGAGATTTTTATAGTAAAACTACGTACTCAACAAATTTTATCAAAAAGAATATTACTATTTAAGCTCAAAAATTAAATTTACTTTCTAGATCTAATGATATATCATTCTATTAAAATATTTAAGTCAAATCTCTCTCTAATTTATTCTCTAACAACCAACTAATCATCCTAATGACATATCACTAAGTTTAGAAAACGAACTTATATATCATTTTTTTTAATCAAAAAACATCAATATATGGTTTAGAGTAATGCTATGTACTCTAAAAAAAAAAATTATCAAGAATTTTATATAATATTTATATGGGTGTAGGGACCACATAACATGAGACCCAAATATATGTAAGTATTATGTATAATTTTTTGAATCTCTAGCATTTTTATACGATGACCCAACTCCTCTCCAATAACTTGAGGGGCTGTTCGACGTTGGTGGGCCCTGATTTGGTCTCATGTCAATAATTTAAATCGTTCAATGTGTAGAACCCATCAAGTATATTATTTTTACAAAAAATTACGTTGATCAGATATCGATAACTACTTGATCAGATTACATATTTAAAATAATTTTCAAAATAAATTGTGATAGAAATGTGATATGATCAAATAGTTATCGATATCCAATTAACATAATTTTTTATAAAAATAATACATTTAATAAATTTTTCACTTTGAATTTTGCCGACATATGTCCAAATGAAGATCTACCAGCGCGGAACAACCCCTCCAATTATTGGAGACGAGCTGAGTCCTTTATATAATATATATTATATGTAAAATAAATTTGATTAATATAATAAATATTTGAATTTTGAGTATAATTTTTAGATAGAAAATATTTTATAGCTCGAAAAAAAAAGTGTAAAACAGTTTTAATTTGTCTTTTTTCTTTTTTTTTTTTTTTTTTTTTGAATTTTTTGTTTTCTGACACTGCAGGCCTCAATAAAGTCTACTTTAGAATTGTCTACGGTAGACCTCCTCGTATCTACAACATTTCTTTGGATTTGTAAAATCACTGCAAACAATATTTATCGTCCCCTTTATTTTTTTCATTTCATTTCTTTTGTTTTTTTTTAATTTATCCAAACAAACGAACAGAAAATATTTATTTATTTATTAATTACTATTATTATATACGAATCACCCAATTATAACTGATTATTTATGAAACTACCATTTTTGATGCAGAATAATAGAGCTCTTTGATCGACAAGTAGCCACCTACCAGGCTCGCGACATGCTTCAACGCACTCCAAATGCGTTAGAGAGGAGTGGGACTTGGGTGGTGAGTTTACGAATCTCGCGCCAGTAGTCACGTGAAGGTCGAAAGCGGAAATGCGTGCCATTGTAGCCCATGTATTTTGAGTGCTGCGGTTTGGGGTCCGAAGACATGAAAGCTCGGTCGTTGATCTAGTTGAAGCATTT